TCTACATAATACGTTGAAATTAGAATTAAAATTGAAATATCTCGGGTACCATATGTCCGATATCGGAATGATATACCTCTTTCTTCTCGTACGGATCCCGACTATCGATTGACACCAAAAAATCTGAATTCTAAGAAATGGCCCAATTTGAGAAAAACTACTATGTTTTTTGCAAAAATTACGATGTTGGCTGAAAATGGCTGTGACCACGAGTCGAACGAGGCCAATCTTTCCGAGATCGGGGCTTATTTGGCCGAGATACAGCGATTTAAAAAACGCGAAAAAATGCCGTTATAATTTTGAAGATTTTTCGTTTTTTTTCCGATAATTCGGCTAAAAATGGTCCGATTTTGGAAAGTTATACCTTTTTGAACTCGTACTGATCTCTGGAATCGACTTGCATACCACGTTTTTTGATTTTGTTTGGAAATCCAAAATTTCTGAAAAAAACAGGCAGACGAACAAAAATCAAAAATTTCATTGCATACCCAAACGGAGCGGTGGAGCAGCTGGTGGAGCAGCTGAAGTACCAGTACGAATCTGCTTTAGGGGAACGCTCCGCAGGGAGTCTTCCTGCGCGATCAATTGACGCACCACAACAGCTACCAGCTAACAGCAACCATTCAAATGCCATCAATATGGCAAATTATATTCACGGCAATTAACAAATTAATTGCTACTTTTGAGGCTGCACTTGAAGACACTATGCACACAGATGCCAGTGCAGGCTTTGCTGGTTAAGCTAATTCCCAATGGCATCTTAGTTTTATGGGCAACACACCAACAACAACAACAGCAGCAGCAACAACAACAGCAACAACAACAACAGCAGCACAAATGCTGAAACGCTAATGAAATTTCCAAGCTGAGCTGCACAGCTGCCCAGGGAGTACAACTTCTGCCCGGTAGGTGGCGTATTTGCAAAGCTTTTAATATAATGACACATTATCAAGGCAGCGAGTCAAAGACACACGAGACGACACAAGCACACAAGCACACAAACACACACACACACACACACGCAGGCAAACATGCACACAGATAACGTTAGCCATTCAGCGTGAGCGAGACAGCTTGTTAAAGCTATTGTAACAGAGGGAGATGGCAGCGCCCAGTGACTGCAATTGTTTGCTTTGCATATACCCTTTACAAAGGTTGTGCAACACTGATTCATTTATAACGGTAGCTCCTAGAAGAAGCTTGAAAGTTCGTTCACATTTGTGCGTTGTTTGTGAATTGTTTTCAATGAAAAGCGAAATATCGTATTAATTTGTTAGATCAGTTTTGAATAAAAAGGATAATTTAAGGAAAATATTCTTGGTCAAAAATTGACATCATATAAGAAAATATTTTTACTTTCCATATATATAAAACAAACTCTGGTACTTTAAGCATATAAGCATAATCATTCACACATTGAATATATAATATGTTAATATAGATAACACAGATAATGAGATTGTCAATGAGATTATTATTATAATGAGATTATTAATTATGTTATTATTATTATTATCATTTTAATTTCTTCTTATTTTTATTTTGGCTGATTTTATTATCTGTTTTATCATTATTTTTTTATTTTTATTCTTACTTTATTATTTTGAATCCTTCTATTATTATTTGTATTATTGTTATTATCATTTAATTATTATTATATTGTTATATATTATGTTATTAATATAATACAAATAATTGTTTTTTTCTTCAAATTATCTCAATTTAAGATCAGCAATTGCGATTTTGAAGGGGTTTCTTAAATATGAGCGTAATGATATTCTTATAGGACCGGCACCTCTTAAATCCATTATTGGAAAAATCGATTGGAACTCGATTATATATAATTATACAATATTATATCTAAAAATATTTGAATATGTGCTAGACTTTTTTGTCATTGACAAGAAAAAGACTTAAAAAAAAATGTATATAGGTAATATATATTGCAAAAAATTATGCAAGAATAGTGTTATATTTTTTCAATATTCAATGGAATGAATATATTTCATGATGCGTATTTACATTGATGTCTGCATCGCTCAAACGTACACTAACAATATAAAACTTGCTTCATTTTATTACTGCCGTTGAATTCGTTGTTGTTCAGGTTGGGTTGCTGCTGATATTACGCATACGTGCTGTCAGACGGCCTATTTGATTGTAACTTCCACGTTGCAAAATGCGATTTAAATGGTTCCCCCCAAAAAATGCAAACAAACAAGCAAACGGAGTGCACCGCCTCGACGCCCGCCTCCCCCGCCCGTCTATCACACTTTTGCCTTTCATAAAATATGCAACAGCAGCAACGCTTGTTGCAACAATGACAGTATCAACAACAACAGTGCAACAACAAGTACAGAAATTGCCAGCGCATCCATTTAATTTCATTTTAATGCACAGCATATCCTGGCAAGGTGCAGCGCACCGCCCCGCCCCGACCCGACACGCCCCCTGTCCGGCTCTTTGATTGGCGTATAGCCCATTGTCCTTATGCAGAGTGTAAACAATTTTGCCTTATCAAACAATCGAAACATGGGCGCACATTCCGACTGCAGTGGGCGTGGCCAATTAAATGACTCTCGGTTCTGTTTAATGCACAACTTTTGGTCAGCTGCATATTATTGCATTTATTGCTCTCATTATTATTATTATTATTATTTTTATAATTACTGTCATTTGTATTTGCTCGCTGTCTGTGTTTGCCAAGTGTTGAGCGCATTTTTACGAGCACTCGAAATGAATAATTGTTGTGTTGTGTTTCACAGAATAGCGAGTGAGCTACGATGAGTAGGGAATGTAATCCAGTTGAAAACAAGCAGGAGTACTTTATTCGGAAGTGACCGACTAGGGTATACCCTGAACCTAGCTAAAATTATGATGGCATTCTTTTATACATTCGAAACAAAATAAAACCAAAATTTCCAAACTCTACAACTTTAAGCTCAGATGCTCAGACAGATAAAGATGTCTAGAGAAGGTCTGCTTCTGCCTGTTACAGTCACGCAAACTCTTTCCACCCATTTACAGGGTATAAAAAGATTGTTTCAATTGCTAACGAGTATAATCAAAACTAAAGAAATACGAAACTAGACAGCGGGCTTAAGTCTTATAAGGATTAAACGACAACAGACTCTATATAATCCGATAGTCCGGAGAAATAAATTGTTTTGGTTTGTTGCTATTGTTTTTCGATACAAGTAACGGGTAGATTTACGCTTGGGGTATTTTAATTTTGTTATTAAAAATATATAACTCATCGAAGGGTTATCGCCGTTCTTTGCAAGTCTATATATTCTGGAGAAGGATAACGAACTGATTGGATACAGCTCTGCTGGACTGCTTGTAGTTGTGTTTCCATACAGTCAGTTTAAAATTTATCACAGCTCATGATTCCTATACATTGAATGTATATTAACTTAACTTGGCATATACAAATTTGGCCAAATATCATTAACATGCATCTACTATATCAAATATAAGATATATACTATATATAAACATCTGGTCTGCTTTATGTCCATAAGGGCATATATTTTGCTCCATAGTTGACTTTTCTTTCTTGTTTCTGTATCAATATCGGCCATTTTCCCAAGTTTAAGTATTATTTAATATTTATTTAAAATAATATTTAATAATTATAGTTAATTTAATGCTGTTTTTTGCGACCTTTCCATTTTTATTATTAAATCTTTGTTTAGCTGGCTCGAGCTCCGGAGTTTAGTTGATTTAAATCAAAGATGAAAAAATAATATTGTTTAAATATATGTTTTTCGATATATTTGGGTTGCGCCTCGTCAACCGTTCACAGGGAAATTATTTTACACATCTGCGCTCTTTGACGTGGAGGTTAAAACTGATAGTTAAAAAATATGTGAATCTGAGAGTTTTGATACAAAAATTAGGAAGAATACCTAATGAATATATGTTCCGTAGATATAAATATGAATGATTAATCTTCTATTATCTGCAATTTACGAGCTCTAACATTTCAAATAATTTAAGCAAACAGTGCGATTTATAGACTTCAACAGATAAATTTAAACTTTTCGCCAAAAGACCAATAGGACACGCAAGACACTCGCACTCGAAAGTTTTTTGTTTTTTTTCACTCATGCCCAAAAAGAAATAGGAATTATTGCTCTATAAATATAAATAAATCGCAAGCTTGTCAAAAATAGCCAGGGAAAAAAGAGCTTCAAAATTTGGCAAAGTTGAAACGACTGAAAAGAAAGAACCTGATAGACGCTAGATAAATGTAATCATATTTTTAAGACGTATTTAAATTACATCTTAAAGATTACAAGATCAATCTGCTTACCGAGCTCTGACATTATAATACGCAACAAAAATGATATAATAGTACTCGGCAATACTCATGATGTTAATAGCTTCAAGTGGCTGGGCACAAAAGCAGGAAACAAATTTGAAATCTGTAGCAATATTCAAGGTCAGAGAACGTTTCGAGTGTTCTATTGAGGTACTTGAGCAGAGAACTTGCTAAGTGAAGTGGTGAGAAATTGTTGAAACGATTCAAATTAAACAAATGTAAACGCAGTTATGGAAATAATATTACATTAATGAGGCTGAGCCATTAAATAAGCCGAAAACTTAGCATTTACTATCCATCGAATTGTAATTTAAGCCATAATACGGTAGCCAATATATTACCAACAATTGTAACGTAAAAAAAAACGTTCCATTTGAAGCAAATACAAAAGCCACTTCACATGCAAAAACCTGATCCAAAAATAATTGTGCTCAAGTGCGTGGCCAACTAAGATGAAGGCGGACGTTTTACCAAACGGATCGTGCGCTTGCTGGTTAGCTCGTCATAGCCACATTATCAAGTGGTTAATAGAGCCCAAGACGGGCCGTCGTCATCTTTTTGTTTTCTTCTTTTTTTTTTGATGCGCACTTGACTTGGCTCCATATTTCATATGTTTAATTGATCGTGTGTTTTTTTTTTTTTTTTTTTGGCTTTACTTCTTTTGAGACTGTTAATGAAAACCAGATATCTGAGCTCAGATGTGAATGATCCATTTTTCGCTATAAATACGCATTGCGAATTGGACCAAGGCATCATTGGGTTCAATACCTACGACACAGTAACATCTTCAGTCAGTTCGCATAGTTCGTTAGTACAAAAGAACTTAAGCTACAGCATGGTGAGTGTCCTAAAATAAATTTAGTACAATGTTTAGAACATTTTTGGTGCGTTCATATTAAACTACAAAACTCTGAAGTTTACTTTTGAAATTTATCAAATGAATACCTTAAATTATTTAGTACATACGTACTGAAATGAAAAGCCTTCAACTTTTAGTACAGTTGAACTAAAAGTTAAAACTCAACACAAGTAACGCACTAAAATTTGTAAGATAGGTGCCTTCATATAAAAATTCAAAACTCAGTAGAATCTACGTTTAAAGTGAATGTTTTTAGTACTTTTGCATTGAAAGCAAAGCCTTCAATGTTTAGAACAGCTGTACTAAAAGTAAAAAAATATGCTTTGCAAAGCTGTCTTAGTTTTCCTATATGATTTTAGCGTACTAATTAGTTAAAAGCTATCCTTGAATAGCTGTCTTTGACTTTGGTACATATGTACTATAAAAACAACCCCTTCATAGATTTAGATCGTGTTGGGCAAATATTGAACTGTTTTTGATTTTCTACTTTTATAGAAACTCTTTATCGCCGCAATCTCCCTTTGCCTGGTGGCCATTGCCGCAGCTCAATCCGCGGATCCCGCCGTCCAGGACCCTTCGGTTGAGTACTTGCCGCCTGTTGGTGATGCCGAGGCTGCCGCTTTGTCAGAGGATGGCTACCGTTACAAGACGGTGCGTCGCCTGAAGTTGCGCCATCGCCGCGAGGTGCCCAGCCAGGAATATCTGCCACCCACACAGGAGTATCTGCCGCCCGTGGATGCCGTCGAGGTGGCCGACACCAAGGTTGCCGACGATGGCTACCGCTACAAGACCGTGCGCAAGCTCAAGTTCCGTGCCCGTCATCGTCGCGATGTCTCCGAGATCGTTGAGCCCTCCAGCGAATATCTGCCACCCGTTGATGTTGAGCTGGCCCCCGAGCTGAAGACCGTGCTGGGCGCTGATGGCTACCGCTACAAGACCGTGCGCAAGCTCAAGTTCCGTCGTCATCGTCGGGAGGCCGACGCCGCTGCTGAGGATGCCGCCGCCGCTGAGGCAACCAATGGCGAATACCTGCCCCCTGCTGAGGCACCTGCCGCTGAGGCTGCCGAGGTCAAGACTGTTGAGGTGCCCGCCGAGGGCACCGAGGTCGGCAAGGATGGCTACCGCTACAAGACCGTGCGTCGCATCCGTTACCGTTACCGCCATTAAGCTGCTGACACCCGAACTTAGGCATATTGAACCAAATTGATCCTGATAGTACACAGAGCGTAACAGCCAGGCATCGGAAATGTTTCCCATTTGGTTAGTTTCCACTTGCTTGACTAACGCTCGACCCGTTCCCTTTCTCCTTAAATATTATTACCCTTAGTTTTTCATTTGTACCCCCCAAAGCATAAGGAATAATAAAGTTTATTCACGAAAAACGATCTCGCATCATAATTATTCCAACTGAGGAAACAGTCGGATATAAAAACCTGGGTCTAAGTCACAATTGCTTTAATATAAACTCTTATATCTTATGTATAAATATATATGTAAGAAAGTACTTACCCAAAAACTCAAAAAAGTATGGGAAAAGACAAACATATTTATGTTCACATCACTGAAAAAGAAGTAGAGAGCGGATTAGTTTCAAAGCAGGCGAAATATGATAAATGAGCGAGAGAGAGAGAGAGAAAAGAAAGAGAGAAATAGAGAGAAAGAGAGAGCATGAGAGAGAAACAAATAATGTGAGGGTATGATCAGAGTTAATGCCTATTAGTTATACTTAAAAACCTATATGCCTTATGAGAATCGATGAGAATCGCATAGTAAGGCAATACTTTAAAATACTTTTTTTATTCAATTTACAGCGCAGCGGAAAAGGTTACTTAGAAAGTGAAATACGCCTGGTCGTTTGGCATATGAGAACATACAAAAGCGCATACACAGAAAATAAGATACAAATTTGGCTGTATATGGTATTAGAGTGTATTACCCATGCCTACGTAGGCCAAGTTTATTTTCCCTAATTTAGCAAATTTTAGGTGGATATAAAAAGCACCTGAATATATATTGAAAGCTCACTTCAAATAAAACTTCGTTCCTTAATCAATATAATTTAAGCTCTCAGATAAAAATCATGAACCTTAGTTAATAAATTCGAGCATATTTCAATCATCGACCGAAATCTAATTTGTTAGCACCAAATGTGCTCTTCTGACAACTCTGCTGCTTCGCTTTCCATTTGCATAATCATCGATGATTGTTATGAGAGTCGTTTTGACTATTTGTGGTACCGAAAAATCAAATCAAAATAAAATTTTTGCTAAATTGCACATTAAAATGGCAGTCGAATAGGCCAAGAAGAAAAGTGCACACAAAAGAAGCCAATAAGCAAAAAACTGGAATTGAAATCAATGGACAAGTAAGGACCAACGGGCAGAGCGAAAAGCGAATCTCAAAAATAAAAAACTTTTGGCAAATTGCAAAATTCTATTTAGAAATGAAGTGTGTGCTTTTAGGCGCACCAGCTGAGCAGCAGCAAGTGCAACGACTCGGCGATGGCGACCGCCCCCCCCCCCCCCCACCCCACCCAGCACACTCTCAAGCATCTTTCGGTAGTTTTCAGTCAACTTTTCGTAATATTATTTTGCATTTATTTGCACAACGTTCGTATTTCTTTGTTTTCTTTCGTTGCTTTGGCGAAAAAAAATAAAAAACAATCGTGATGTAGTCAGCGGTGCTCGACTGGCAGATACCCTGAACTCAGGGTCGAGCTGCCGTCACAAAAATTCTAGCTTTCCAGACACACATGCACGTTTTTGTGCAGATAATCGGTGATTATTGTCCGATCTTTGTATAATTTCAGTGTATTAATGTGCATTCAAATGAAACCAAGTCTCAAAAGGGTCTCCCATTAATATAATATTCGTGATTAGTGTAGTGAAACAGAATTTCAATATAGATTACTTCAAACATCTGCATATCTAATACGGAAGGATGGACAGAAGGACAGACATACGGACATAGCTAAATCAACACCCTTGTTGGGGTCGCCTTCTGCCTGTTACATACATTTGCACAAAACCATTATACCCTTTTAGCCTATTTTCAGGGTATAAATACGCGAAATTACAATATGGCAGCCGTGCCTTGGGTCCAGAGCCTCGCTTTCTCTCCTCGTCATGGACATCGGCGTACTAGCGAAAAAAGCGAGAAAAAAAGAAGCTAAATAGAACATTTTGTGAGCCAAAACATAAAGTTACGTAATTGAGCGCTTGACTTTGTGAAGCAGCGGCTTGAAAAGGTCGCCAGGCCAAAACCTTCAGAGTTCTATGAATGTTAATTTTCCAAATGGTTCGCTTCGCTCTTGTTCTTTTTTTTTTTTTTTTAATTTTTTTACGAATTGTTTAAATTGTTAGGCAGCACTTAAAGGTGTTTGCTAATATAATGATCCAAGATATTTCATTAAAGTGGTGGACCAAAAAAAATGAATCAATTGTGACAAGAATTAGTTGCCATTATTAAGGGAATATTGCTTTGCGCCTTTCGAGACATTGTGTACAGGCAGAAAGGCTTCGAAGGGGTTTGAACTGAGCCGGTTCGACTCCGGAATTCCAGTTGAAATGAAAAACGAAACCCATAGTTGCTTAAAAACAGTAAAGCTTAAAATGAAGAAAAATAAATAAAATTCGTATTGTTTTATTAATATTAGAAAAACGTAAGCAAGACATTTGGTTCCCTTGATGCAATCCTTTGATTGAACCAAAACCTGGATTCATTGACAGATTTTCGAACCAAGGGAGTTGGAGTTTGGTTTTAAGGTAACTATATATGTATATATAGTTTCCGGAATTATCGAACTGTTTAGAGGATCTTTTCTAATAGTTCTTACTTAATTCAAGTTATAATGTTCTAAGTATAAAGATAATTATCAGATAATTACGAAACATATGTACAGAAACTGAATTTTCTTTTCGTTCTTACTTCATTTTAAGCAATGTCTGATTTTCATTTTCACGAAATGTCTAAAGCACACTTCCGACTCCATAAAGTATAAACATTCTTGATTAGTCTTAATAGTCGGGTCGCTAGCGGATATACCCCGGCCTTGCCCGTGGTACGTATAAAATAAATTCTTTTAAAGATCTTTAAATATGAGTTTAAAACCGATCAGACGGTAAACAAAAAATTTTCATACAACCTAGTCGACACTTAGAGATATTCAGCTTTCAAGAGTCCTGAAATAAATATTATGTTTCTCCTTCAAAGGGGCAAAGCTGAATAAAAGCTGCTTTTTGGGTTTCAATCAGATTTCTCGTACATCAATTGTTCTTGCCTAACCCCTGGCAAAGCTGAGCAGCAATTGATAGGTTATTATGCATTTCATAATATAACTACGGGGTATTTAAGCCTTGCCAAATCCAATTAAAATCAAAAGGCCATTTGCTTATATCGTTTACGCCTCAACGTGAAACTAGACTAAATTGAAACGCTTGACTTGACTGGAACGCCTAGATAAATAATTTATTGAAACTGGATTGTCTGTGAAATTTGAGTGAAATAATTTGCAGCTAATTTCATTGTGGCCTTTTGTAATTGCAAATGTGGCAAATGCATTGCAATTTGCACCCACAATATTATCTAAATGCTGGCGTATGTGTACTTGTAAAGTCAATCAGCAGCAGCTTAAGTAAATTACGACACGAATTTATGCAATTTTTGTGGGAGTCAGCAGTGCGTTAAGATGCCAATTAATTACTTAAATAAGTAACGAAAATAATTATGAGCATAGCTCATTAAATGCTTCTCGGAGTTATCTTTCGAATTTCTGAAAGTCTCGTCATTTGGCTAAATGTCAAACGGAAGCGAAGCGACGCGACGTATGTGGCAAAAGAAATCGCACAAGATAATATTTAAATGGATTTTTAATGGAAACAGAGAGCGAGCAGCTGCCACAAAGATGATTTTGAGTGGGGGGAAGGGGCACTGAAAAATCTCCGACAGAAAGATAACAAAATCCGTTGGCCTGGGTCTGGGCAAATGGCAAATCAGAAATTGTGTCTTTCATCTGCTCGCCAGTCGGTTTATGAGTCAAGCCTCAAGCCGATTTGCCTTTAAATACTTCACCTCAATTTGCTGGCAAATGGTAGACACATAATTGAAAAAATGCCAAGTACTCAGTACTCAGAGTACTCCATTCCGGGCTAGTTTAGTACGCTGACACAGGCCAGTCCGCAGGCAAAAAAAAAGAAAAAGAAATGCAAGAAAACTTGCCTATATACAGAGCATAATATTAAATAATTCACAAGTTTTCAACTTAGAAACTTTCGAGCTGCTCCCGCCCAGAAAAGTTTTACCTATTTTTTTTTTAGTTTTGTATTTGACTTTCGAATATTTTTGCCTTGATGATGTTGTTCTTGCTGTTCGGCAGCAAGCCAATCGCTGCTAATTGGACCAGACCAGGCCAACTGAGATTCAAATATATGGAAAATACATGGCCAAAAATCAGCCAGCTATTAAAACTGTGCGCCTCAAAGTCAAATGGGCTGGCTGCTTCAGAAAGAATAACAGTTGGGGTAAAAAGGCAATCAGCTGTAGTAAAACTATTTTAAGACATCATTTCAAGACTTAAGTGGGAAATTGATTGACAATTAGTATGGTGTACAGGGTTCAATATATCAAAAAGCTTATGCTTATTAGTATGGCAACGAAATGCAAAGAAAATACATTAATATATACATAAAAACTATTGTTTAGCTATATATTCATGAGAATTGCATAGTAAAGCATTGTTTAAAAATAAAGTAAAAGGATGTTAACTTGGTCTGCGTTTGGCATAAGGAAGTAAACATGAGCATAAATAGAGTACATACATAATTATAAAATTATTCCAGAAAAACATACCCCTTTTTAAATAAAAAAACTGAAACACGCCTCAAAAATATGATAAGCTGATTGATCATTATTTTGCCACATTTACGAGTGAACTATTCCCAAACTTCGTCTTACATTCCACTTACATCACATAAAATAGCCACAGTGGAAACTTTTAACATCCTAGCTAGCGATTGGGGCTGTACATCGGTCACCAATCAGTCAGTCAGGACAAACAGCTTGATATATAGTATAGTTATAGATATGCATATGTTAATGCCCGTACTAGATGTAATTTCTGCATTGTTGTTAATTAATCTCATTCAAAATATTGGACCGTGTGTCGAGCGCTGTTCGCTTCATCAGCATCAGCATGCACACACAAACACACCCACACATACGCAGAAACATATGCGCGCATATGAATGCTGATAAGTCTAACAATACGAACGGAGGGAATAAAATGATGGGCATATATGTACATATGCCTGTAATGGCCCACAGAACGAACGATTGATAAATGCGAATGCCGGCGTCGACGCTGACGCTGACGTTGTCGTTGACGTCGCTAACGTAGCTTATTTTTCAGATGACCAAACGAGACGGCGACGACAGAAGCAAAAAGTAAATAACAACTGCGGCAGCATCGGAGGCAGCGAGTAATAAAGTTGATTGCAGGCAGTGGCAGGCGGCAAATTGAATATTTGTCTTTGTGTGCGTGTGTGTATGCGTATCTGTGCGCGCATACGTGTGGCTTGGCTCTGTTTGTATTTGTTCGCATTGTTAAATGTCAGTAACAGAGACGCAAGAGAGCAGACCCGAGCACTCCCATGCTGACAAGCCATTGTTAACGGTAGTCTCAGTGTGGGGCCTCTGCCAATCGCAGACTCTTAGCGCCTGCTACCAACACACGTCGTACTTAGTTATTTGGTCCAGTTGCCAAGGGCAAACGCAACCCTCGCTCTCAACTGACGTACTCTCTTTGCTTTTCTCTTTGGCTACTCGCCGCAGTTTCGTTCTGCTTGTTGCTTTGTTTTTGTTTTGTGCACTGTAAATTGTTGCTGCTGCGGCTGCGGCTACTGCTGCCGCTGCTGCTGCTGTGGCTGCGTCTTTTGCTGCTCTTGCCAATCTTGGGCATTATCGATTTTCTTTTGTTTATTTTGCTCGCTCACATTTGTTTGTTATTCCTGTTGTTGTTGTTGTTGTTGTTCTGTGGGTGCGTGCCCCTTTCGCGTTGGTTTTAGTTTTTGGTTGCTTGTTTATTTGCTTTTGCCAAGCAGTTGTTGATAAGCGAAGGCGCGCGGGCGGGTTTATTGCGTTCTATTCATGTCTCTGTATTGTTTGCAGATATGAAGAGGATTTATGGCTAGCAAAAATGAAATACTCAATTGTATATGTATGTGTGCTTACACATTTATTTGCTTTGTGATCAGTTCCTGTACTTTTCTTTTGTTCTATAATCACTTAATGGAAATATTAAGAGCGTATGGTATTCATTTTTCTGATCAGCTGATTATCTTCTAGAAGGAGGCTCAATATGTCAATTGTCTATATCTTATATCTATATCTTACAATATAACTAAGTACTATAGAGCCCTATTTGGATTAGACTTTAAATCAAATAATGGATTTCTTGTTTTAAAATTATATACAAAAATTAATTAATTAAATTAAAAAATAATTGATTTCATCCACAGCAACTGGTAAGCAATATATACCCACAATTCCTGGCAACTTTTTACGAATACATAAAGTAGAAATGATTATCTGACAATAAATTGGATTTAGGGGCCACGATTGAAACTGCAGCTGCTCCTGCTTCGCATTTCAGTTGACAACACGTTGCTAGGTTTATTGGCAACAGCGCAAAAGTTTCCCCAATTGTTTACATCAGCAGAAAGCTGACCGAAAAGCATCCTCTCAGCATTAGAAACAGCCGGACCGACAACAACAACAACAACAACAACAACAGTAGCAGCAGCAGCATATTATAACAACTAAGAGAGCCGAACGCAGCCCCCAAACAACGCGTGGGTCTTTCTCTCTCACACTCGTTCGCTCTCTCTCGCTCTCTGTGTCACTTATTGCATACACAAACAAAAACATTGGCAGAGCGCAGCAGGCAGAGCGGCGCTCTCTGTGTGGATTACGTGCGCTCAGCAGCGGCTGCTGCGCCGCCAATTTGCAAGAAAATTTAAGTTCGTTTACAGTTGGTTTTGTGGGGCAAGTTGTGAAAAACAGCGGCGAGCAGCAGCTGCTGCCAAGAAGTGGCAACAAAACGTTGGCTGCCGCAAAGTCAAAGCGACGCACCACATCCATATGTACATACATATGCACAAATATAATAAACATTTTTAAATTAATAATATACGAATATCAATTGAGCTTGCAATTGTGCTGTGTTTGTTTGTTCGTGTTTGCGCGTGTGTGTGTGTGTGTGTGTGTGTGTGTGTGTGTGTGTGTGTAGTAGTTGTTGTTGTTATTGCTGCTCTCGCTGCGTCCGCCCGCTTATTTGAGTGTATACACACACATATACGCACACATTCGCAGCGCACTGCAGCTGTGTTTGTGAATTTTGTGGTACATTTTGCTCTCGCATCGTTTACAGATTTTTGTGGTGGCAAATAGTTGTTGCATAGCCTTCATACAACACACAGCAACAGCCACAATTACTAACACTGCGACAAGTGGCAGCAACCGAGCGAACGGGCGAACGAGCGACCAGCCACAGCAACAACAACAATAACAAGCAACGTTTTGTTGTTTTGTTAATTGAAATAAATTGATATAAATTCTCAACGTGCTGCTCATATTGTTAATAAATACAACAACAAAATGAATAAACAACACGGCAGCAGAAAAAAATTCAACTAAATTTGTGAACTAAAAAAATAGCTTGGTTTAGTTGCCTGCGAGGCGCCAAATGTTTTACAGTTAACATAAATAAAGCAATTAATAAACACACAAATTGGCCGCAAAACAAAATTAACAGCTAATTCAAATTGCTAAAAAAAAACATTCAAAAACATATATACAAACACATCTTCTGCAAATTAGATTGGAATTTTGGCAAGTGAAAGTGCTAAAGTGTGCACAAATTGTTTTAATTATATCAATTATAATTTGTGCTTAATTTTTTTTTTTTTGGTACCAGCAACTCGGCATTTCTTACTTTGTTGTGCGTATTTTTAGCGCTTATGCATTAAGTGTGAGGGTGTGTGTGTGTGTATGTACGTGTGTGTGGTGTGTGCTGCAGCAAGCACACAATTAAAAATCGGTTGAAACAAGAAATTGGCAAAAAACAAAAACTAAAAAATAACGCATTACAAGTAGAAGGCAAAAGAGGCGGCAAATCTGTTACGTAAGCTGCGAGCGACAACCAGCGTAGGAGAGAGAAAGACTCTTTGAGACAAACAGAGAAAGACATATCGGGAGAGAGAGAGAGAGAGAGAGAGATAGAGGGAAGCTGCTTAAAGGATTGGTAAGAAGTATATGTATGTATTACATAGAATAAAATAATGGATAATTCAGCTAAAACGGCCAATAGAAAGTGAAATTAAAATGAAGATATATTAAATATATATATATATATAATAGAAAATGCTCTGAAAAATGAAGATCGATTCCTGTGAAAAAAGTTCTTGAGTTGTCAATAAAAATTATAATAATAAATCCCGACAAATATGTTCAAATGATATCGCAGCAATATCGATATCTACGTAAACTTAATAATCAGAATTTCCCAATTGGTTTATCAGCTTTTCAATGAAGTTCCGGAACGGAAAGAAGCCCTTTTTAACTATATACAAATTTTGTTAACATCTTTAAATTCTCGAAATTTTACTTTGACTTTGATTATCAAAAGATTTTCCCCTCCTTTCTAGTTATTCTGCTCATTTGTAGTTAAAATCTTACACCTTACGAATTTCACTTACTCATATGATTCAAAAATGGAACAGAACTATTATGGATATGTATTTTAATATATATATGCGTACATATACATACATATGAATACATATATATGTTTGTATACCGATGTACCTGCACATTCTCGACCACAACGCTTCAGTTCTAAGAATGCGAAGCCAGAACATTGCAAATGTTTATTTTATACGATTTGTTTGGCTAACTTATAATTGTACTTTGTTTGTGCGAAGTACTTATACATATGTATGTATATTTATATATGTATATCTATATGTATGTATTTACGTATAAAATAATATGGTTTTATACTTATGATTTTTCACCTGAATCAAATAGTGACATGCTATTCCCATACCTTAAACGAGCGAACGCCTTTGCGAAAACAATGTTAAGAGACATTCTATCATATTCTATTAATGTAATCTTAATTATTTTCCAAAAATGAGTTAGGAACTTAAGAATAAATTTTTTTATGGTTAATATGCAAAAACTCTTAAAGTAAAGAAAGCGATCGTGTTCTGGTTATAAGAAATGATTTTCAGAAACCTTATTTTATAAAGGTTATTGGAGATTCCTCTTCCAAATAACACTAGTCATGTTTTCAATATTTGTTTGTTACCAATAAAAAATTTTCAAAATAATATAATATATTGTCTTTTGTAAATAGAGAGCTTTTTTTTATAGATGTATAGATAGAAAAAATAATTAGATAAATAATAGAATATAATATATTATATAATATATAATAATATTTCAAACAATCTAGAGCAGGTAAAATTGTTGCTAGACTTGCAATCTGAGTATCAGAAATCATTTGAAAATCTCAAATTCGTACTTTTTTGGCAACACTTTCATTGCTTTTACTATTAGGAGAGAAGTTTATTTCGTATTACAGCTCAGTTATGTGCACTTCAAGTTCATTTATTTCATATTCTGTTTTTACACCGAATTTTAATCGATTATTGAGCTAATTTACATAGTTATTGCACTTGATTAACCCCAGTACGCCGAGCATTACAATTGCATTTGCATTTCTTACGTGTCTTGGCAAACAAATACCCTCCGTTGTAATTTCCCTCCATCTACTGATATGCAGGCATTCAGTTCATTGAACTCGGAACTCAGAAACAATGAACAAATCGCCTCCCCCTATAAATAAGTGTCCGAAACGTTGCATACTTTTCGGCCAGATGACCATCAAAAGCAATAACAGGCAACAAATAATATTAACGATTTTCTCACTTCACACATCTTGCGCAGCATCTGAAACGGACCAACACACAGACACATACACACAGGCACACGTTACACGTGTGTGTGTGTCATGCGCAGAGCGCATTTTGGTAGTGGCAGCAAAAGAGACTCCACTTAAGAGTGAGTTAAGAGAGAGAGAGAACTGTTTTGGCCATGGCCTTCTCGCGCCACAACATCGAAAAGCGCCGACTCATCGAGCTAGTTCGCCTCAATCCCATACTCTGGGACTGCCGCCTGCCCCACTACAAGCGCTCCGACAAAAAGAAGGCCATCAAATGGAACGAACTCGGACGCATGTTCAACGTGAACGGGGAGCGAGTGCAGCGCACCTTCACATCGCTCCGAGAGATCTTCAGGCGGGAGCTGAATCACGAGAAGATGCTGGGCACCACGCGATTCAAGTCCAAATGGGAATACTACGATGCCATGGCATTTCTCAAGGAGGTCATCAGGGAGCGCAAGTTAGTACAATGGCCAACAAAATCGTAGAATATCGCAAAAGATAACATAGCAAATTCACAAAGAAAATTAAACAATAAAAGAGTGCATGCAATTTTTGTGAAACATTTGAACTGGAAACACAGTTTAAGCCTATTTATTTAAAGTTTTCTGTTTCTTAAACCAGCCCTATTTTCAGTGTTCTTTATTAACACTAGATATGCTGCACGCACGCTGATATTTTACTTGATTTCTAACACTGTAACAAGCTTTTGAAAAAAAGTACAAAAAAGCTTTAATGACTGCTCTAATCAAATAATTTTCAGCTTAAAGCTCGAAGAACTGAACACTGAAAATTACAGGCCATCAAATGGAATGATATCTATATATATATCAATCTATATACGATACCTATGTTTAAACATATTTACGAAAAAATGGAAAATGCTTAAAAACTTGCCTATATCTTGGCTTATTATACTCTTCTATAGGGTAGTACAAATCTGTCAAGAGACATCAAAGTTTTCGTTTACCAAACTAAGCAAAATTGCAAGCTTAATAATTCTGCCAAGAAATATGCAAAACCGTTCGGCAAACATATGTCTATAAGGGCATTTATTGTTCGGCGAATCCTTTTATTATGTTTCAATGTCTTTTCTATGTGCTTAAACAAAATGTTCTTTATATTAACACACATTTTACTGCAGAACATATATACTTAATTCATTTGCTTTATCCATTCCCAATAGATCTCGTGAACGCATCAAGAACACTTCAGTGGAGTCTGCCGGCAACAACAACAACAACACAAACAATACTAGCAACAACAACAATACAAATATCAGCAGCAACAACAACAACAACAATACAAGTAGCAACAGCAACAGCAATAACAACAACAATAGTGTGGTTCACGATGAATACCAATATTTTGCGCCCAGCGATCCAAACAATCCCAACAATCAGCCATTGAAAGCGAATATCGCAGCAGTTCCTCAGGCGCCGCCAATCCTGCCCAGCATTAGCCAGTTGCCCGTCGGGCTGCAGCAGCAGGCGCAGCACCTGCAGGCGCTCCAGCTGCAGCCGGACGTGACATTGACATCGCTGCAGAAGACGACGCCAGCCATAGTTCTGCCCCTGTCGGTTGCACCAATGCCGGCCACATCGCCCGCTGCGGTGCAGCTGTACAGCAGTTCGCGTTCCTGCAGCAGCTCACCCTCCATTTACATCAAGGACGAGCCAGACTCGCCAGACGAGGCGGGCAGTCGGTCGGCGTTCAAGTCGCGCCAGAAACTGGCCACCATACGACCGCAGACCAAGCAGCAGCTGAAGGAACGCCTACGGGTGGCCAAAGGGGGCGGCGGCAGCGGGCTTTATGCAACGCCACCGCCGCATCTGATAATCAGTACCAACAACGAGCTGATCGACGTGGATGCTGGTGACTTGGAGGATGACGACGACGACGATCTGGAGTACGACGATGATGACGATGACGATGATAACCGGACGGCGTGTCCGCCCAATGCCGGCGTTAATATGCTCGGCACCGACGGTCAACTCTCGCCTGGCAGCAGCTTCACTGGCGCCGGCGCGACAAGTGCGCGCCATCAGCCTGGTCCCCGGGAGCTGCTCTACATTAAATTTGGTGACTTTCTTGCCGCACGACTGAATACCCTGCACGAAACGGTAGCCAATGAGCTGATGAACAAGATCCTACTGCTAATTGCCGAGAAGTGAAGAGTGGAGTTTGCAGTTCGCCAAGTGAATCGAGGGATATAATCCGTTCTAGCTGTGTTAGCGACGGGTAAGTAAGCAAGAAAAACAGATCCTAGGCCTTCGCTATACCCAATGAAAATAGAGGGGGTTTGAACCTGCCATTAAGATTTGAGCATTGAGCATTGTGGACTTTACAAGAGTTTTGTAATATATTACAAAATACGGCTCAAGTCACATTAAAGCTTTTTCAGTGTGCTTTCTATGGTGTGATACACAACAAAAGCTCTGCTTATTCATTTAAAAGCACGATAAATCTATTTAAATGTTAAATACAACAAAGGCTCTGCTTAATTATTTAAAAGCACATTAAATAATTTAAATGAGCTTTATAAGTATGTCCTATTTGCTGGCTTTATATTACACAATAAAAGCTCTGCTAAAATATTAAAAGCTAAAAAAATGGTTCATGATATATTTGCTTGCATATTATAAAATAAATAAAAAAATAAAACACTCTATAATATTATATAAGCCATTAAACAAGAAATTGATATGAGCTTTCATTGTTCTATCACCTTCTGTTTAATAAGTTGCTCAGAACATACAACTTTCTCTCAAAAATGTTTGTGTCCAAGTTTTCCGATGTTTCTATTAACTTATAGCTTGAGTGTGCATTTGTTGGCCCTAAAAAACTTGTAAAACTAGTTAAGTTCCACAAAATTTATTAGTTTGACCAATTTGTGTGGTCGCCACTTGAATTCGTGGCAAGTAACAACAATATATTTAAATTTATATATACATTTACATTTTTTTTTTGCCTTTTGCACACACAACATGCCAAGACCATAAAAAAGTTTTAATTTCCGAACGCTGAAGTGGCCCAGACACACACAGACTGTGGAGATACACAAACACAGGCTCAAGTGCACAGACACACATGCAACATATCCGACAAAACGGAGCGAGTTGCAAGTTTTGCAAAAAATTTAAAAGCATTTCACGCATAAATAAAAAAACACCCGAAGCTATGCAGCATGCCAAGTGAACGAAACCCAACTGGTTCGAAGCCGGACAATGACCGAGACAAAGTAATAAAATAATAAAAAAAAAAAACAAAATCAAATGTATAAAACTAACGCAAAATGCATAGTCTGAATAAAAAAAGAAACCAGCCCATAAATTTCACACATTGCAACGATTTCAATTTTAAGTTGGCTAACTGAATATCAGCTATGAGACCAAAGGAATATTATAGTAGAAAATGCCTTTGATAATTATAGCAATAAGAAAAGAGAAATAAGAGAGAGAGAGAAATAGGATGTCTAAGTATAATGTATTATGCCATAGTTATATTACTTTTACGTATATGTATAATTATATTTTTGTTGAAGAGTTCGATTGATTTGTGGGTTATAGTTGCCAAGCGAAAAAAACTGGGTATTTTTATCGGTTAATTTAATTTTGAAGATATCATTGAAGACCTTGGCATTTTTACTGCAGGCAGTAGATAAGTCGGTGTCAACAGGTTGGAATCATCTTATCATATTTATGCAACCAGAGAAAATAAACGGTGTGAAAAAGTGTTCTTTCGCGAACAAGTTTTGTTTACTTTGTGAGATATATTAAGAGATTTCCTCTACAACTATATCAAGTAGCTAACATATCTGATATATGTAAGATAATTTGATCTTTGGAATCTGCTTCTTAGGAAGGTTCGTTTAATTTATATAAATATTTCTTAAAAATTCTTGTCAATTCAACTCTGTAGAAGTAGTTCCTAAGCACATTTTCCATCTAGGGGAAATGTTGAAGCTATGCACTTCTGTTTCAGCTATTGCCTTTTGTTAATTTTTAAAAGCCTCTGGAGTAAGGTATTAATATTAATAAACTATTTGTTAATATTCTATTGAAGTATATTTTTCAAAACCAGCCTCAGCTTGGGCAGGCGCGATCTTAGGTAATACCAAAGGCAGTATAATATATACAAAATATAAAGTATTTACTATTGTCTTTGGTAATACCCTGTATATATTTTGTTTATATTCAAAACTAACCTCAACTTGGGCTGAACTAAGCGCTGTCTACGCCTCAAGATTTTTGAGTTGAAAATATCTGCTACTGTGCGAATGACTTCACACAATAAAGATACACAACATGCACACACACACAACACGCACATACACAACACTCACGCACGCACACAAGCTGAGATTCACAAGTTTTGGGCGTGTGTATTTACGATTTTGTAATATTTATGCAGCGACGCTTCTGTTGTCGCTGTATGTGTGTGCCCTTTAGATGCCGATATGGCATTTCCGTCAACTCTCCTCGTCTATATGCTGCTCCTCGCCACATCCCCCACCCCACAGTGCATCTCCGCCCTTTGCTATCTGGTATCTATGGCAACAGCTTTACGAGCTCAGCCTTAATTCAGGGCAAAGTAGCGCAGTAAACGGCACAGTGGGTGGCTTAAGTGTGTGTGTCTGTGTGTGTGTGGCCTTTTATGGATAGTTTCAGCAAGTTTGTTGGCACTTACAACATTATAAATTTGCCATAAATTATCGTTATATGAAACACAGCGCGTCGCTGATAGGGCAAACAGAGGCGAACTTTGATTCAAAAAACTGCGGGAAAAAATGTATTATGCTAACGAGTGTAAAATATATCCAAGAGAAGAAGAGAGAGGCAAAAAAAATAAAATAAAGGCAATATAATTAAATCATTAAATCAAAAATTAATTAAACCTCTCTAACATCAGAGCCTCAAAGCTAATATTTAAAATATATAATGTTTAACATAAATTAAGGATACTCTACTAAAAGAATACTTAATCTATCAACTCGTTAACTTTTAAAAGAACTTGGCAACTGGCCAAGAAGCATTGTCTAATAAATATGACTAATTTATAAAATATAATATGAAATATAAATTTATAATAATAATAAATATAATATATAAACTGGAAAGTCCAAAATATATATAAATCAAAATGCGAATTATAAAATATGAAATATAAACTGCAAAACTTAAAACGCTAAAAAAAAAAGATATAATATAAAATATATAATATAAAATGCAATATATAAAATATAAAATGTAAAATACAAAATATAACAATTATAAAATATATAATATAAAATATAAAAAATAAACTATAAGATTTATACAATTTTAAATATAAAATATGAAATATAAAATACAAATTTAACGCTTACAAATTATATATAAAATGTGTAATATAAAATGAAAAATATAAAATAAAAGTTTTAAATACAAAATAAGAAATATAAAATATAAAATTATAATATATTAAATATTATATAAGCTAAAAACAAAAACTATTCGATCAATTCATAGTTTTCTATACCGAATTTCAAATCTTGCAATCCAAATCTATATCTCTCTCGCTGTCTCTTTCTATCTCTCTTTTTTGTAATTTCTCAATCTTCCCCTCTCTCTCACTCTCTCTCACTCTCTCTCTCTCTCCCTCTTTCTCTCTCGCTCCCACTTTCTCAGTCTCTTTGGCTATCTTATTGTCCGGAAGTTACAGTATTTAAATGAAACACTTCCTGGTCCGAATTTGCTACAGCATATTTTTTACAACTTTCTTGCTTTAGTGTTACCAAAAAAGGCCAAAGCAATCGAATCACAGTTGGCTACAATGTCTAAGGCCCTGGATAAAAGCAGCTATAGCCACAGCCTGTCTAGTTCGTGGATGGGTAGCTGGAAATGGCGCCCGAGTTAGGAAATTGTTGCACAGCCCGCGGCGTTTAGCCCTTTGCACATAAAATTGCATATGCAACTTAATGTTTACACTGGTCGTAAAAGTTTAATGGATTTCGCTGCTGCTGCTGCTGCTGCTGCTGCTGCTGTCAGTATGTAAGAGCAGAGGCAAAGGGCTGAAGCTGCGTCTGCCCCGCCTTGCCCGCCTACTGCTTGTCGGCCTTAACTTTTTAGCCATAATAAAAACGCATCTATTTGATTAATACGTCGTTTTTCATTTTTTTCCGCATGCTCATCATTATTTTTTTTGGCTCCGTGATTTAAACAAAACAATAAAAAAGACCGTTAAGCTTTTTAAAATATTTGAAAACTTTGCTGATTTATAGGATTTAGAGTTTACTTTGCGCCGGGGTTTACTTAGTTTAAATTTGAATATAGTATAATTATAATAATAAACATAACATTTCTAATAGCCAATCGCAAATTAGCTGAAAGTCTGAATATGTGTGTGGCAAGCAGTTAAATATATTCATTTGAATTATTACAATGGGTAGCCCTTATCTTGGCTTTGGTTAATCAAAAGCATATTTGTATACATCTATTATTGAATGGAATTCCAACATCTGAGAATATTGTATGGTGCACACATACACATACATATATAAACATTAGCATAATTATAGTTGTGTGCAGGGCAACAAAAACTTGGCCAATTCACAAATGATACAAATTGGGGTTTCAGATAGGAGACAGAGCAAGAATTGCAGCAGTTACAAGGCAGCATGCAACATGATATATAGATAGATAATTGAATGCCAGGATCAGATGAGACCAGACTGAAACACAAATGAGACAACCAATTGCAGACCATCAGACCTACAGAGCACAGAACACAAAAGGATGCTGGCGATGAGGAGTATCAATATTGACAGCCATTAATATGGCCAAGTTATACAATAAGCAGTCAATGGCAGCTCGGGTTATTCATGTAGCCAGGCAGGCACACAGAGTTCTCTATGGACTATTGCATTTTTAATGAGCAGGAGGCGCCTCCGATACGCTTCCGCTGTTGCCTGCCGACTGGCTGATGACTGGGAAAGGCTTCCGCCTGCGTTTGGGATATTTGACAGCATACGTAAAGCAGTGGCTGGTATCAGGTTAATTTGAGACGCAGCCATAGGGAAAAGCCAACGGAAAGGCAGCGGAAACGCAGACACACACACGCACACACATACACACACAGACGACCCACGACTCTGCATTGAGTACTCTGTGGCAACGTTGTCGTCGTCTCCTTCAACTCAGCCTTAATGGCCGCAGGACATGTCAAAAGAATTGATGACGTGCAGCGTCTTCGACGTGCGC